GATTCGAACCTACGACCTTTGGAATACTAGCCCAATGCTCTTCCAACTGAGCTACGCGGTCAGCTACGCGGCTACGTGGCCGGGCATATTCCAACTGAGCTACGCGGCTACGTGGCCGGGCATATTTTTCAAGCTCGTCCGGTGTGGATATGCACTCAGAGTAACATCACAAACATATTATTCACCTGAGTACACAACACCAGCACAGAAAAAAAGCTCAATGTTTTGGACAAAAAAATGTAAACAAAGGCTTTGTTTACATACGGACTGTAGATCACCTTTAAGTAGATAAAAAACTTAGTTGACAGGTACAATAAAATACAGGACTATTTATGCATAAAGTCGTCGAAATATTTCGCTTATTACTTTTGAATTGTGAACATCCGAGCTCTACGTGACCGCTCACAATTCGAAAGAATTTGAGGGGAAAATTTCGACAAGTGGCCTGGAAATCCAATACAGTGTCGTTGTCATAACAGTAAATTCTTCTCATTTATCTAGGCGGATCCAATACCTCACTCGTCGGTAACAATGAAGCAACGCAAGTCACCGAAACTAAACCAGAAACAAAGACCGACGAAACACCAAAAGATACCCGTACCAAAACACCGCCTATAGCCGCGACACCACCAAAACCTACAGCTGCCGTCAAGGTGCCTGTGAAACCCACGCCACCTCCCAAGAACACCCAGGGGCAAAAACTCCAGCCGGGGCGGCCACCTGCTCGAGCGAAGTCCGAGATATCCAGAAAGCCGATTGCTACCCCCGCCCCACCTCCACGCAAGGGTGGGCAAGCCCGGAGTACAACGGCTGTTGCAACAACGAAAGCGGTCACACCTACTCAACAGAAGAAATCTGGGGAGCCAGCCAGCTCTACCCAACAGAAGAAATCTGTGGAAGCAGCCAGCTCTACCCAACAGAAGAAATCTGGGGAGCCAGCCAGCTCTACCCAACAGAAGAAATCTGTGGAAGCAGCCACACCCACCCAAGCAAAGAAACCTACCGAGCAGAAGAAATCACTCGAAACCACTCCTCCTCAGGATAGGTAGGTATATATTGTATACCCGAACGTAAATAAATTAGTACTATAATAATTTAAACGACCTCCCACACGGAAATCTTGTTAATCGGTTACACGGTGCAATTTTTCTTGCAACTTGCAATGCAATTCTACTCTTGAGAGATGTAAAATTGCCAAATACGAGTCTTCATTACACTCCGCTGATGTTTTCTCAACATATCGAAAATTCTTCACTGATTTGACTAATTAACATCTCTCAAGAGTAGAATTGCATTGCAAGTTGCAAGAAAAATTGCACCGTGTAACATGGCCTTTAGTTTTAGATGTTTTTGTTACTGTATATATGTCAGTTCTTAGAGTATCTATATTCTGAAGATTTTACCGTGTTTAAATAAATTTTACAATTACAATTTTTTTGGTTCATGAAATGGTAAAGAGTGCTTGATATCAGATACCGGGTGTACCCCCAAAAAACTAGACACTGTTTGATTTATGTAACGTAAAAGCTATAAAAGCTATCGTAATGAAATAAAGATCATTGCATTCAGAAAGCACTAACTTAGATTTTGATATATAGCACTTGAATTTACATGCAATATTGACTGCGCTATTGATGTTTCAACGTTGAACTACTGTTTTTGAAAATGTCAAAAATTAGCATAAAACAACCTTATAATTACCGATGTGGTTATTCCTTTTAATTAATTGGTTGTATCTCGCTCAATATTGCATGTAAATTCAAGTGTTATATATCAAAATCTAAGTTAGTCTTTCTGAATGCAATGATCTTTATTTCATTGCGATAGCTTTTATAACTTTTACGTTATATGAAACCAAAGAGTGTCCAGCTTGTTTTGGGGACATCCGGTAGATAGAGCAAATAGTACAGAATTAATGGTTGATTCCAGTTATACACTAAATTTTGATCTAGGCAAGAAGAACAAAATCCATCACCACAGCTGGAAAGAGCATGTTAAAATTAGTAAAATTGCAAAGTTTGGCTGCGAATTGTTGTAAAATATAATGAGGAAAATATAACCCTGCGAAATTTGCAAATTTTGTATTAATTTGTATTACGCACGGGAAAATGCGCCACATTTGGGCCGAAAGTGGTGCATTTTCCCGCGCGCAATACAAATTAATACAAAATTTGCGAACTTTGCAAGGCTATATTTTCCGCATTTTACAACATTTCGCAACCAAACTTTGCAATTTTACTAATTTTAACATGCTCTTTCTAGCTGGGGTGATGGATTTTGTTCTTCTTGCCTAGATCAAAATTTAATTAATAGCTGGAATTGCCTATTGTAGAAGGGTTTTATGCAACTATAGGTCTTCTGCCAGGAATCGAATGTGCGCCAAGTGTATCAGCCATTTTGCTGTGTAGTGTTAACTTTTATCATTTGCTATCTGTATAGGTTAGCGAAGTCTAAATCGACTGGTGAAGCAATTATAGCAGCGAGAAGAAACTCCCTCGCAGGTTCTCAAACTAAACGAAGACCTTCGGAAGCTACAGTTCGTACAGGAAGCATTGCCGAGCTTGAGAAGAACTTCGGGATCGCAACGAAATCTACAAAGAGAAAGTCGAGCACTAGCGTGAAGGCAGCTTCGCAGAAGACGGAGTCTGGCTCGCAGGGGAAAGAAAAGACTGATGTTTCTCAAAAATCCGACACTCAGACTTCAAAAGATGCAAACGTTACAGCAAAGTCGTCCAAGCCACTTCCTAGAAAATCTTCTCAGGATGTTAAGACGAAGCCCACGCAAGACGTCCACGCAAAATCCACGCACGATACCCACGCAAAATCTACGCCGCTGGATACGCACGCCAAATCCACGCGAGACGCAAAATCAACACAGAACGTGAAGTCCACGCAGGAAAATCAGATGACATCTGCACATGATGATAACAAAGCTAAGCCAGCGAAGGAAAAGCTTGTCAAGTCCGCGCAGGACGCACACGCGAAAGCCACGCAGGATGTCCAAGCGAAACCAACAAATCAGGCCAAGTCCACGCAGAACGGTAACTTGAAGACCACCTCAAGCGGAACTTCCAAGAGTACTGAAACGAAAGGGAACGAAAACAGTTCAAAGACGGCGGACAAAAGTAAAGCAGACAAGAAAGCTCACGAGAAAACAAATGTGGAAACGCAAGAAAGCAAAGATTTACAAGCAACTAACACGAACGCACCGACTCTGAAAGAGTTAAAAACAAAATCAAAAGCTGTTCCTGGGAAGGACATTAAAACGACCCCAATTACGCCTGCACAAACCTCTACCAAAGAGCCTCAACAGACGCCGGCGAAAACCACCACAACAGAACCGCGAACTCCAAAACCTTTTCCATATACGAAAGACCTGATAACTAGTTTACCAGAGAGTGTTAGTCCAACAAAATTTAGCCCAAAACTTACACCAGAAAGTTCACCAACTCCTGAGGGAGAAATCGCTGAGAAACCTCAGGCCATGCGAGGTGCTCTAATCACATCTCCAGACATTGAAGAATTATCGAGAGCTAGTAGTCCGAAAGCGAGCAGAAAAGGATCTAGTCCACTGCTAAAAAATACGGATAGCGATACTGATTTCTACAGAAAACAGCAAAATATCCTAAAACTGCAAGGTGGAAATGATTATGCTGACGAGGATTTAGATGCCAGCGGTAATAAGCGTCGTACTAGCAGTGACAATAAACCGAAAGATGACCAAGATGGAGCGAAGACGGCCGATGGTGAAGCGGAGGTAGACGATGGAGTAACGAAGGTTTCCGATAGTAAAGCGAAGATTTCCGATAGTAAGCAGGAGGTGTGTATAAATTAATGTTAAAGGATTTTGTAGGTGGAAGTGTCGAGTGTGAATTTTATACATTTAGGCCATATAAAATAAATTCCTTGATTCGCAAATATTAGTGCTAAAACAATTTTATATCGCAAAATTCCAACATGAAATATAAAAATAACTAAATCTCTAAAGATGCTCGGTCGGGCGGTAAATTTATATTTTATACAAAAATACAAAAATATGAACGCGGAAATCCAAATATCGTCGGGGGCGATGAGAATCAAGGAATTTATTTTATATGGCTTTATTAGAACTAACTGGGAACAGCTGCGAAAAATGCAACTTTAGACCCCTGGCAAGAATCGAATCTGCCGTCCTACGATTCCTGTGCAGCGTTCTAACCAACTGAGCTACAGAGAGACAGTTAATTGTCGAGCTCTAACCAACTCAGCTACATAGAGACAGTTGTCCAGCTCTAACCAACTACAGAGAGACAGTTGTCGAGCTCTAACCAACTGAGCTACAGAGAGACAGTTGTCGAGCTCTAACCAACTGAGCTACAGAGAGACAGTTGTCGAGCTCTAACCAACTGAGCTACAGAGAGACAGTTGTCAGCTCTAACCAACTGAGCTACAGAGAGACAGTTGTCGAGCTCTAACCAACTGAGCTACAGAGAGACAGTTGTCGAGCTCTAACCAACTGAGCTACAGAGAGACAGTTGTCGAGCTCTAACCAACTGAGCTACAGAGAGACAGTTGTCGAGCTCTAACCAACTGAGCTACAGAGAGACAGTTGTCGAGCTCTAACCAACTGAGCTACAGAGAGACAGTTGTCGAGCTCTAACCAACTGAGCTACAGAGAGACAGTTGTCGAGCTCTAACCAACTGAGCTACAGAGACCAGTTGTCGAGCTCTAACCAACTGAGCTACAGAGAGACAGTTGTCAAGCTCTAACCAACAGAGTTACATAGAGACAGTTGTCGAGCTCTAACCAACTGAGCTACAGAGAGACAGTTGTCGAGCTCTAACCAACTAAGCTACAGAGACCAGTTGTCGAGCTCTAACCACAAGTTCATGGATATATACTCATATACATGAACTTACTGTTTAGGTCTAAAATTTTACAAAAGCGCCATTCCCCCAAATCTCGATTTATAACATAAATCTACCTTTTCACTCAAGGTCTCTGATGATACAGGAAATTCCGACCAGGACGAGGCTGAAAACGCGGACTCAAAGATGTCAAAAACATCTGTGAACGGCGAACGGAAGAACAGTCTGAAATCTAAAGAAAGTTTGAACACAGATTTGAGAACAAATTCAAAAGGAAGTTCCGTACAGGCAATGTCCAAAACCAGTCAGGAGGACAGCAAAATATCAAGATCAAGAAGAAGTAGTAGGTCTGTTTCCTTCTCATCGCCATTGCAGCACTTTCCTGACGCTGCGAAGCAGCGGAAAGAAAGTGTGGACCGTTTGACCAAGCGAAGAAGCAGTCAGAAAGTTGCAAAGAAAGCGAGCAACAAGGAGCTGAAGAAAAGACGTTCTTCCTCGAATGAACATGTAAAAGGCAAAACTAAATCAACTACTGAAGTAGCAGCAAAAGTAGACTCCAACCGTAAAGTTTCCAATGCGAGTATCTCGAAATCCCACACCAAAACTCATAGGAAATCTTCAAAGAATGTAGTGATTCATAAAACGAAATCTGAAGCAAAAACTAAACCTGAGGACGCGCAAGAAACGCGCGTGGAAGATTCGCAGGAAACTCGCGTGGAGGACACGCAAGGAACCAGTGTGGATGAGTCGCAAGGAACGCACGTTGAGGATTCACAAGAAATTCACGTGGACGACGCACAAGAAATGGGCAAGGACAACACGCAAGAAACTCGCGCGGAAGGCTCGCAGGAAACGCTCGTGAAAGACTCGCAGGAAACGCGCGTAGACGACACGCAAGGAACACGCGAAGGAAGTGACGATAACTTGAGGAAAACCGAATCGGATGAGGAAGTCGTAGTGCAAGTTTATGTTCCCGACGAAGGACAGGCGGATGTTCCCGAGCAGGTGACGGAACAGACATCTCAGGAGTCTGGTGACAAGGCCGAGCATACGGGGACTGGGAGGCGAAATGTCGTCACGACCGAGGTAGCGTCAAATGTTACTAAAATTGATCTAAAAGTTTTCCCTCAAGAATCGAGCGTAAAAAGAGGTTCTTCGAGACGAGCGTTCGGGGACAATGTCGTGGAGAAAAACCTCGTGAATATTGTACCTCGAAACTCTATGGATATCATCAAAGGCTTCAAACTTACCCCTGATACCAAAGTTACCCCTAATAGATCTTTTCACTCGAAGAGTAACCTTCATCGCGCTCCGGTCGCACCGAAACCCGGCACGCGAGTCACACGTCGAACCCACCCGGAGGCAAGGGCTATCAAGGTATCAAACTTTGAACTACCAGAAGCCGGTCAGGGGGGTGCGACTCTAAAACCCACACAACATGGTAAAGCACAAATGTCGATGCACCGCCTCGCTTCAAAGATGTCGACGAACTTGGAAAAGGTCGACGAAGGTTCCGCACTGGAAACAGGTTTATCTTCTAAAGAATCTGGGAAATTTCTTACGGCTCTGAATATCAGTAAAGCTGGTGTTAAAACTCAAAAGCCGACATCTTCCGAGACTGAAAAGGATGATTTGGTTAATTCTCAAGAAAAGACGGAAAAGCCGGAGGAAAATGTCGAGACGAAAACTGAGAAGGTTTATTTTATTGACAGTGATATTTTCAACGTTTGGAAAAATGTTGATAACAGTGAAACTAATATGCTTAAAATTGTTCATTTGCAAGGTGGAGGAAAGTGTCGAGAAAAATGGGAATGAGAAGACAGAACCAGTACGAGCTGCTTCCAATAAATCTTTGCAGTTGTTAATGAAAGCTTCTGGTGTTTGTATTAACTCAGCCTCGTTCGCCGGCGTCGTGCAAGGTAAAAACTAACTTTATTTATACTGGATAGCTGTATCCTAGAGGTCCAGTAAGAATCATCTCTTATTGATCCAGTGTTACTACAGGAGGAAACCTAAACTAAACTAACTTTATTTATACTGGATAGCTCTATCAGTTCCAAACTGTTCTCCCTAGAGATCCAGTAAGAATCATCTCTTATTGATCCAGTGTTACTACAGGAGGAAACCTAACCTAAACTAACTTTATTTATACTGGATAGCTCTATCAGTTCTAAACTGTTCTTCCTAGAAGTCCAGTAAGGATCATCTCTTATTGATCCAGTGTTACTACAGGAGGTAACTTAAACAAAATTAACTTTACTTATACTGGATAGCTCTATCAGTTCTAAACTAATCATATTTATAATTACAAGGTACACCGTTACTAAACAAAGAATCAGTCACAGCTGATGATGACGCCACAGGGCATTCGTCATCAGCCAGCCTGAGATCAAACTCGTCCCAGCCTCTTGTACCGTCACCTCCGATCACGGCCAAACCAGATATGGTGTCTCCACGAATCTCGCGGATGATGTCGCGCAATATGAGTAATGGTTCGGGCAAGTCACGTGGGTCCCACGGCTCAGCCAACGAGATGTCACCAACTGCCTCGATGGAAATTGTCAAGTTAGCGTCCAACTCCTCGCACGGCTGGGTCTCGTCACCAACCTCCTCGGTGAAATTTCTCCCGCCAATTGACGCCCGCGCTTCAAAGGTAATGACCAGCGGCCGGATGTATGAAACTGTTAACTACATTTAACCACAAAATAGTGGTTATAAAGTAGTTTATACAAATGCCTTCATTGTTTATTTATCATGATTCTTGAATTATTTATTTTCAATTTTAAGGCGAGCAATCGTTCAGATGATTCCAGCACAAAGCGACGCCCGCGTACCACAGAGTCAGCCGTATCTCGCACCGGAAGTGTGGGATCTAGATCGAGTTCTGGTTCTCAAACAAAAGCCGCGGTCGTGGAAATCCGAAGATCTGGTTCGGGTGATCTTCGGATTGACGGATCAAGTTCGGGTCTTGTCGGAGTGAAGTCCTCAAGTTCAGCTGGTAGTCCAAAACAGACGTTAGTTGGATTTTAGGAAAAATTCATTTTGGTAATAAAAACTGTAAAACTGTAAAAACTTTCTGTATTTGTATAGCAACTGTAGAATATGTCCGTATCGTAAAGATGACTTAATGTTATTTTGTCAAAGCTTTGTTATGAAATAAATTTCTCTTTTTTTTAAGCCAAAGGCAAGGTTGAGATTTTGAAAGAAAACGATTGTGTTAGCATCTAACTTTATTTATACTGTATAGCTCTATCAGTTCTAAACTGTTCTTCCTAGAGGTCCAGTAAGAATCATTTCTTATTGATCCAGTGTTACCACAGAGGGAAACCTAAACTAAACTAACTTTATTTATACTGGATAGCTCTATCAGTTCTAAACTGTTCTTCCTAGAGGTCCAGTAAGAATCATCTCTTATTGATCCAGTGTTACTACAGGAGAAAACCTAAACTAAACTAACTTTATTTATACTGGATAGCTCTATCAGTTCTAAACTGTTCTTCCTAGAGGTCGAGTAAGGATCATCTCTTATTGATCCAGTGTTACTACAGGAGGAAACCTAAACTAAACTAACTTTATTTATACTGGATAGCTCTATCAGTTCTAAACTGTTCTTCCTAGAAGTCCAGTAAGGATCATCTCTTATTCATCCAGTGTTACTACAGGAGGAAACCTAAACTGAACTAACTTTATTTATACTGGATAGCTCTATCAGTTCTAAACTGTTCTTCCTAGAAGTCCAGTAAGGATCATCTCTTATTGATCCAGTGTCACTACAGGAGAAACTTAAACTAAACTAACTTTATTTATACTGGATAGCTCTATCAGTTCTAAACTGTTCTTCCTAGAGGTCCAGTAAGGATCATCTCTTATTGATCCAGTGTTACTACAGGAGGAAACCTGAACTCACTAATATTATAAACTAACTTTATTTTTACCGAATAGCTCTATCAGTTCTAAACTGAATGTTCTTCCTAGAGGTCCAGTAAGGATCATCTCTTACTGATCCAGCGTTAATACAGGAGGAAACCTAAACTAAACTAAAAGTGGTATAAACCGAACTCTTGATTTAGTAAGAAGAGATTTCACTTGGGTACAAACCCTGGACATATTAAATAATGACGGGTCTTACTATTATTCAAATGAGATAGAATTGTATACGAGTGTCTTTCCTTATACGGCAGTAACTTATAAATTCATCAAATATTTGTATTCTTAATTTATTCGACGAAGCATAGCGTCGTAAATATACGTTATATTCTTGTACAAGGATTTAAACTGTTGGAGTTTAATATTCCTAACTTGGTTGAGTCAAGTCTTAAACAGGCTTTTGGGTAAGTAGAACGTTTTTTTAAAGTTGTTTTATGTTTTAAAAGGTGGGGTCTTTTGCGTTGAGCTGTAGTTAGTGTCGTTAAACTCAGTTGAATGTTGTTGTTTTGAAATGCTTCAATATTGTAATGTCACGACGTTCTTTGAAATTTGTTTCGACGTGGATATTTGGCCGTTGTTATCTCGCTTGCCTGTATACTAAAACGGGACTTTAAATTAGGGTCTGTTTTAGTGAGGTTTATTTTAGTTTAATTTTGGCTTTTCCAAACTGCATGTGGCAATATGTATAATGTCTCATGTGAGCAATCGTTGAACAATATAAAGCCTAAAGGCAACCCTAGGCTTCTTCACCACAATTCACAAACTGTTAAATTAATCATTTGTTTAAGTAGAGACAGATGATTTATCTATGACTATACAATACGTCTTCAGTTATTCTCATAGGCTCACTGAAAGTAAGTTATAGTTTGTAGCGAGCCATAGTTAAGCAGATACTCAAAGCACTTAGAAATGAAAATTTTTAACTCGTTCGAAGCAATATAGCAGTTTTGTAAGCTCGTTAAGGACTAGTTGATGTCAAGAATACTAAACTATTAGTAGTCATAGAAAAACTAGCAGATTAGACCTCCCTGATAAGTTCATTAGAACTACAAGAGCAAGTAACGACTTTTAATTGTAAACTCATCAAAGTTGCTGAGAATAATTACATGGAGACATGAATGATGAATAGGCGCTCGTAAAGGTGGTCAGTCGATGCAGTGCATACATTCTGTCAAGCAAAACAAATTTAACAAAAAGACAGTGTTCACACCAGTGTCACTTTACAAAAAACTGTAGTAAAAAAGTTGGGTGAGCTCACTGAAAGGTCATGTGAAACTTTTATTGGCCCCCTCATGAACTACATAAAAATACTCATGTGGTCTAAATTGTTGGAATGTTGACTTAATATCATAGAGTGAAGTGTGATGTTATGTGTATGGTTTCTGCATGGTATAAAGACTATAAAACGTATTCTTTATAAATTGAGTTTGTTAAAACTTGGACTTTTGGAGTTTGTATTTACACCGTGGTAAAGCAAAACGATAATTATCGCTAGCTGTCCAAACCAAATTAAATGACTGATGAATGGTTTGATTTAAAAAACCAAACACTATATTCAAAACATGGCTGATTAAATATCAAACATTTTCATTCAATTTATATACTGGTGTTAATTTAATGATAAGTATTGCAAACATTCGCATTAGTCGTTGAATACAGTGAGATTGTCACTTTTTCCTTTGAGAATACGAAATAAGAAAACCTAAAGTTCTTCTCAGAAAAAGATCGTTTTATCAGTTCAACAGAACCACCCTATATATAGGAAATATACTTTACGTTATATATCCAATGAATTTATGGTAAGAATAACTACGTGAGGCGCAGTTTTAAAATGGACTGGTTTATTAGTTCATTCAAATCAACCGCTAGAGTAATTGCAACACAATGTAACAAATCAGTAATTAGAACAAATGACTGAACAATATCATGGAATTTGTACCCTGGACTAAGTCAATTTAGAAGTATTGATAATAATTTTGTGCCTTATTCAACTGTCTCAAGGCATGCAAGAATCAATCTGACAAATTTTGCAATTATATGGTTTAATTAAGATTGACATTTGACAACTTAACGTAGTTTAGTGTGAGGTCTATAGGAATGTTGTATGTGCGGTATATTAGACGTTACTGTTGCTGAGATTTTAATTTGAAAAAGCTGTTTCTATGAATATGATCTTAGTCGAGATCCTAGTAAGCTACTTTACCACTGAACTTGAAGTATTTGCGGTGTACAACTCGAGGTTCAACTGAGCGTCAATTAGTTTTGGAACGGAGCATAGAATAGTTTTCCAGGCAGTGGCATACTATATTTAATGCTATATCGACTGGACTGCGGAAATCATAGGAAGTGAAAATTTACATAAGAATAACCGTCGGGTCTCCTCTCGCTGTGTCTGTGGTCTGTGGTGTTATTTTTAACCACCTCTTCGTGAAAATAGTCACAAACACCAAAATCTAATATACATTCGAGAAATTCCATTGCAATGTAAAATGCATTGAATCTCTTAATATTATGGCAGGTTCCTATATCTATATATCGATATTTGTCCCTTTCATAATGATTCAATTTGACTGCTATACACCGATGCCCAATGACAATAGCGTAATTGAACGGCACAGACAGAACGTGCGTAGGTGAAGTTCGAGCCCGACAATTAGCAAACTCTCCAGGTTGGCCCTCCCATGCAACAAGCTCGCCAACTGTTCAGAACAAAAAAGTATTTAATCAGGTGTTTTCCTCATTAGCTTTAATCAAAGCAAATTTAAATTGCAACCTTTCGGACAGTTTGACGTCATGACGTGTAATTTTTGCGCAAATGCTTACGATTTAGTTATCCAGGACAAACGAAAAAATCTCACCGGCAACAACAGGCTTGTAGCAAGCTTGTCAACAAGTTGGAACAATGCTGTTATTTTATCAAGTTGCTACAAGGTTGTCACTCGCAACTTGTTGACAAGTTGTTGAATTGCAGGACGATAACAAGTCGTTGGAACAACTTGTAACAAGACTGTTGAGCTCAAAAACCCTGTAGCAAGTTGCGGACAAGCCGCTGACAACTTGTCAACAAGCTGGGAACAAGCAGTGCGAACACATCCTGTGGCTGTTGACAAGTTGTTGGAACAGAATTGCCACAAGTCTGCTGCAGGTTTGTTACAACTTGTGCGTTTTTACGCGTGTACAGCTACTACAGGATTACTTTAGCTTTTCACTATTAGATCTGCATGATAAGCCAATTACTGTGGGCCCTTTTTACCTAACCCACCCTGTCAACTTTCCCTGTGGGAGGAAACCGGAGTACCCGGGGAAAACCCACGGCTTTCGGCAGAGCGTTGACTTTTACTCTTTTCACATGGGGACTGGGTTCGAGTCGCACTGAGAAGGTACTGGCATGTAGTAAAACACTGACTACCGGAACACCGGAACACCACCGCAACACCGGAACACCACCATTTTGTTTGGGGTTAGTGTTTGGGGTCAGGGTTAGGGTTGGGGGTTAGGGTTGGGGTTAGGGTTAGGGTTGGGGGTTAGGGTTGGGGTTCGGGTTAGGTGGTGTTCCGGCGGTGTTCCGGTGGTGTTCCGGTGTTCCGGTAGTCAGTGTTTTACTACATGCCGAAGGTACTTAGTGGACTTAGTGAGACTCGAACCTGCAGCCTCAGAGGTGAAAGGCAAGTGCGCTAACCACTTGGCCACCGAAGCCCCTCCTGATTGCAAGTCACTATTGGCAAGGTATTGACTCCAGCGTGTTGCAAGGTATTGGCAAGGTATTGAACTGTCTGCGCCAATGTAGGTAGTCCCACTAATATAAACAAGCTCTCGCTAGTAACTCCAGACGAAAGGCCTTCGCTCGAAACGTCGAAATTCTCCTTACATTTTTCAGGTAATTACATCCTTACCAACGAAAGCTTAATTGTTGGCATTAGGCAATCTTTCACTGCACAATTTATACGCATGAAGTGACAAAAAATGGAAAAAATGTCGCTGTTCTCACGTTCTATTTGTCAAGGACAATGATTTTCTGAAACGGAAGCCAATGCTACGCCACATCGTTCATTTAATTAGCGCTGACAAGTCTTTCACACAACATTGTGCTCTCGTTGAATACATACTGTGTTCTTTACGAAGTAAAACGTTTCTAAAATGGGATTGCTCTTCATAACCACGTTAGTTGTGGTGCTCCAAAACGCAGCCCAGCCATCCGAGAGTTTATCTGTCACAAACTACGGCACGAAGCAAATCAGTATGATGCGACACGGAGAAAAATATGCCACGAATCGGCCTTGCTATGCTTGGGAGGATGTGCAACCAAAGTACCACGGAATGACCCACATTAGAGGCATTAACGATAAAGTAGGCTCGTTTATCTTCGATGTCGATGCGCCTGTGTTTGTTTATCTTGCCGTCGACTCGCGTTACCCATACATACACGGAATCGCTTTCGAAAACACGCACGACAAGTTCATGCTTGGCGGCTGTCATAGCCGAACACCGTTTCACATCTACAGAAGCAAAAAAGCTCTTGGCCCGGGAAAAGTGGTCGTAAAGTTCAATGCATCGCGAATGACAGGTGTTCTCGTCCGAGATGCAAGACTGGTCCAACCCGCAGCCGAGTTGAAAATCGCCCCTCTATCCTCGACTCATGCCGAACTCAGTATGGTACGAGATGGAGAGAAATTCAGCACAAACCGCGCCTGTTACACAATGACCAACATTCCTCCAAGGTTTTATGGTCTGACTCACGTCCGACTTTTGAACGACGAGAAATCAATATCGTTTCAAATAAATGTCCCAGCCATTATCTACGTCGCCATCGACTCGCGTTACCCCAACATTCTTCCGTCCACCTTTGTGTTTACGGGCGAGAAAATCGTTCATGCAGGATGTCATTCTCCGACAGACTTCCCAGTGTATTCGCAGAAATTCGCCCCGGGTAACGTTGCAATCACTTTAAAGAAACTCAGAATGTTGGCCGTTTTTGTGGAGCCAATCGTGGACAATACATTCAAATCTGGGATTTATTAGAACTGATAAGTTTCTTAGAACTGATAATTTCTTAGAACTGATAATTTCTTAGAACTGATAATTTCTTAGAACTGATAATTTCTTAGAACATTTGGCGTGACTGCTCCAAAATACAGCTAGTATATGCGAGTTAATTTTTGACCCATATATATATTTTAACCTATTACAGTAACCATTTCATTGTAGTTGATTTAATTGATCACATGCAATTGCATTACACACCGCGTGAAAAATCTCACATCTTGTAGCAAGTCTGCCAACAAGTTGTGTTCGCACTGCTTGTCCCCAGTTGTCAACAAGTTTGGAATAAGCGGTTAACAACTTGTAACAACCTTGTCGATACTATCATACTTGTTGCAAGGTTGTTCTAGCCGAACAGGTCACACGATATAACAATGTTGTTACAACCTTGTCACGTCAAACTTGTAACATTCTAGTTGTTGTATCATGACTGTATCAGACTTGTTAGAACAACCTTGTAACAAGTCGAAACCTAGCTCGAAGTTCTTCTTGCTATCAATCCAAAGTTTCCAATAGGTCCCAATAAATTGATAACAATTTGTATAAAAACAGAAATTATGTTTGGTTTATTGCCAGTTTATCGCTGGCCGGCCTCAGTGACAAATCGTAACAAAGCAACGGTTTTACTAACACTAACTCTATTCCAAACACCAAGTAATCATTACCCTAACCTATTGGCTATTACAGTACTAAACCCTGCTTCTAAACCAATCTTGAAGAAAAACTTTTTGACTGAAATGTCATTCTGAGGCAGCGAAAAACTTTTCCCTTTGTTGGAACTCTTTTTTGTATGCAAATTTAGGATCATGATTTAATTGTTGTGTTCCGTTCGCCTCCTTAAATAAATTTTGATCGTCGGTGCATGAAAAGAATACGTCAAAACAAACAGAAACGACCTTATTTTAATCCCAAAACAACTGTAAATTTCGAAGTCTACAACTATTTCATGAACGCTGTTAACTAAAGGATCGCGTTGAATTGGTTGGACAAGTTTGGCTTGAGAATTCTTGAAGTTTGTTCGTTGTTGAACTATCGTTGAACTCCAGAATGTCGGCTGTCCGTGGTTTCAAGCAGGCGGACGACATGGCCAATAATGTCGAATCTATTCATGACCAGGTCGAGTTTATAAATATTTCAACGATATTTTATTTGACAATCTGGTTCAAGTACTCAATGGGCCAATTTATTAATCTTTTGCGGTCGAAATTCTTCAACTTCTTGGGAAAATTCGTACTTGTATTGAGACTACCTGCTGTGGTTTTCTTTCGTCGACCAATACTGTAGCTTTTACAAGTGGCTACCTTCCGAATACAAGCATTTCAAAGCCGCGTAATAAACCAAGCTTTCTTTTTGAATTTCAGGAAGCACAATTTGAGAAAGTAAGCCGAAATTTGGAGCTAGAACGCCGAAAAGTTGCCCGTCAACTCGAAAAGGTTTGTGGCCGAACTCCATTTTGATACGATTCTATCAGATATTAAAATTATACTCACATTTTTATTGTAATTTGATCGCATTTTCGAACGCGTCCTTTCGACAGTTTAGCATATTCCGTTTCTGATTTTATAAAGCGATAATTTTAATACCGAAAGCTTCGTTTCGCTTAACTTGGTTAAAACAATATCTTTTACAACTTTTGTAGTGTAAACAAGTATCCGAAACCGCGTCTATTAGTTCATATTCAAGGTGAGAAAAACTTAACTTTAGTATTCTTGTGTGTAAAGCTTTGCTGTTTATAAACAACATGCCGAAATAACTGGAATACCTTTACAATGTCGGAGCCGTTTATCGACAATAGTTTTGAGGCGAATTACGATCAACTTTAACGGAAATTGTAGCACTTAATATTTGCTTAGATTTTGGCGAAATACAAGACCATATCATGCTGAAATATTTCAAACAAATTCTGTATTTATTCGTCTTGAACTACCCTAAATTTTTGTCAATAAACTGTAAAGCGTTGCTCGAACGACATCATTATAAAAAGATGGGCAAAAATACTCTAGATTTTATCATATATCGTACGAAAATCCTTTGTTTGTTGTCGAAATATAAACGTTTTTTAAACGCTTCCAAATTACTATATTTTGTTGTGATTTTATAATATCGAGCTTTAGGAAATCCTAGTTTGTTTTGGTTGTGTTTTATTGGCCCCAGATGTAATACGGTCAAAATTAAATCGTCTTCTATTTCTTTATTATCGATTGTACACGGAAAAGCAAATATTATAAGAAATTGAGTGTTTTATAGAGTTCAGAAAGGCACTACAGAATTATATTTCTCGCATTTAGTAATAAACAGTTCCTAACAGAATTCGCAATAATGTGTGTTTTGTGTGTGATTAGCATAATCTGTGTTCCATAATAACTTTGTAGTAATATAGCAAATTATGCCACATTTTTACTCTATAAATACAAGTTGTGTCCTTTACAGTAAAATAAAAAAAGTTGCGTGTTTTTGGTGTGTCCTGACGACGGAAGTGTCTAATTGTTCAGTAATTGGATGATATAAAGTTGAATATATTAAATTGCAATAAAAAATCAAACTTTGATATTTGTTACTGTAATAGGACCAATAGAGTATATATGGTATGTGTAATTTCCACTCAACATTTCCATCTTTGAAAAGTCAATGTACAAAAACATGCTGCCAGTCATGTTATATTGTGTATTTAGCCGCAATGCACACTGATGCCCTATAATGCCCGCTGATTTTATTCACCAAGGGGAAGTCTGCAGACATGCGTGTTTCGGCATTGTACGCCTCATCAGTGCAGCTTGGTACAGTATGTGTCTAGATATGTGATTTCGTCATATTTATACACACAAGCCCGTGACTTTCATCATATTTATACACACAAGCCTGCTCTCGCCAAGCGCATGTGGCACAACATGATAAATTAGTACAAATAGACCTTTCCCCTTTTGAGTGAAATTTTGATCTAGACAAGTCTGGACAAAAATTTCATCACAGCTTGAAAGAGCATCGCAAAATTAGTAATATTCCGAAGTTATGTTGCGAAATGTTGTAAAATGCGGATAATATAGCCTTGCAAAGTTTGCCGTTTTTCAGTCATTTTGTATTACAAATGGGAAATTGATAATCAGTTTGATCATCTGATTATCAATTTCCCGTTTGTAATGCAAAATGACTGAAAAACAGGCATTTTACAACATTTCGGCATTTTATTACATTTTGCAACAAAACTTCAGAATATTACTAATTTTGTGATGCTCTTTCAAGCTTTCACTCATAAAGGGAAAGGTTTATTAGTTAACCTATTAATTTGCATTGCACCCCAATGTGCCCGACTCTATTATTTTACTCTGTCTAATGCCAGACAATTTTACTTGTCAAAGGGAGAGCGCTGGTGCTTAACAAGTTAATTTCTTATGTTGGTTAATCTAGTTCCACTGACGAGTCCTTCGTTTGGAGAGGTGAAAATGGAAGTATAAAAGGAGATGACGAAGGCAATGGTCCTACTTTAGCTGATTCTTACTTGTAAGTCAATATTCCTTTATGTCTGATAATCCTTACAGTGGATAATCTGAAGACATTCAGTCGGCTGCATTGTAGGAAAACAATTTAAAGGAAAAATAGTCCTTTGGAACTGGGAAAGAAATTCACCCTGCCTTTCAATTATTCTTTAGAAAAGACTTGGAAGAACGTGGAATAAACAATAACAGGTTGGTTTGCAAATGATCTGTTTAATTTAATAGAAACTACAGCTGTAATTCTAGCGGATTAGCTTTGCTTTCACACCTGCGCACATACCCTATGAATTGGTGTGTGGCATCTGTGAAACAGCAGCTAAAACGTGTTTGCTAGACATGGTTAAATTTTCAACATGACAACATGTTGACGTGAAATCCAACTGTAGGTCAATAAATTTAGTAATAGACTCATCAATGGTGCTGCCAATGGGGGGCATCCTAACAGAAGGGATGCATTACAGTAACAAGTTAATTATTGAATTATGATGATATATGTCTTGTAGTAACATTGGAAGATCCGACAGTGAAATACCAGAACAAAAAGAAAACAAAATGAGTACATTTGAAACAAGATCGTTTTCTCAAGGTAAACTATGATAAAATATTCAATGCATTGACAATTGTGTTTTAATTACCTATCAAGCAATGCTCAATGGGTTGATAAAACCATTTTGGTTTTTTAGATGGTGGTTATACCCAGAGTACCAGAACAACCACAACAACCACCAGACAGTATAGTTACCATTCACAGAATGGTGAACATATTGAAGATGGTGATTTTCCAATTACTAACGGTGATCATCGTGAGGTGGTACAGAAGTTCACATACACCAACCAGAATGGGTATGGTGATAGTCGCTATGGTAACTCCAGACCACAGTACCCACCTGGTGATGGTTACAGAGATGGCCCCAAGGGGCCAGGTTCAACTTCATCACGAGATAGTGCTGGAAGGTATGTGCATTCATTGTAATTTATGCATTTTCACAAGCAGTGAAAAGTTTTCCTGACCATGGTGGGAATCTAACCCGCGACTTTGAGGTTTGCGGGTTTCGATTCCCACTGTGGTCAGACAAACTTTTCAGCTTGCCCGGTGTGAATGCACACCCAGAGTAACACGACAAACGTCATATTCACCTGAGTACATAACAACAACACCCACAAGAAGTACGGTAGAATAAAATTAATTGGCCATTTGTTGTTTTTGTTCGGCAAATAGCTGATTACCAACTGTTGTTATAATCCACACTGGTCATGAGTGTTTACTGCAGGATTCATATTTTTTATATACAGTACATGTGCAGTATACTGTGTAAACCTCAAGCCTTAAAATATCAGTCGGTCACAGACATTGTCCGACCCATTCCGGCATTCGTGAAATTGTCTGACATACAGTAGAGAGGATTAACCACCGGACATTCTGTCCGACCTAAGTGAAACTTAGGTTTTTTGATGTCCAACCGAATTGTAGCTTTGTAAATCAAAATGCACCCAAGCAAGTTAATTTTAATCAGAATTAATACATTGTGCTTGTATTAATTTGTGTCATTCAGACTTATTTCCGAATCAAACTGAACTGAAGGTCATCGGACATCATCTTACATGTGTCTGACGAAAACTCGAAGTCATCGGACATTTTGTCACATGGCCCTGTAAAAGATATTTTAAGGCCAGTGGTAAACCTGCAAGCATGCAGACAATATATATATATATACATGTATGCCAGGAAGATGGAAAGTCATAATGTTTCTCTACATTTCTTCAGATATGCCCCAGAGCCTAGACCAAGAGGTAGTCACAGTTCTCAAGGCTCCGTCGGCGATGAAATAACTCGACAGAAAACCTCTTACACAGAATCTGCGCCACCTGAGCCTGATCAGAGGTCTGGATCGAGAACATCCTCACAGTCCAGCATGACACGAGGTGCAGAGGCGCCTCCCCAATCCCAAACCCTACCACGGACATTTGGACAAAATGAGCCAAGCGAGATCCCTGAGGAAGGATCATCAACCGTGCCCAGACAACCTTCAAAATCGAAAGGAAGTAGTAAGTCATTTCCATCCTTTTCTTAGTTTACAGACTTTCTCACTCATTGGTGAGCGGACAACAGTCTTTTGCCCAATTGATAAGGGATACGAGGTACCGGTACCTACAATTTAGCATTGCGAAAGTCTAACCATTTACTGATGTTAATGCAAATGTAGCACTTTCTCCTCAGTTATTTTAAGATGATGAGTAGTGGTCTGACAAAGGATTGAACCCGGCTCTCCCATCTTGGATGCAGTGGCGGACGCTAGGGATGGCCAGGGGGGGCGGTTGAAAGACCTGTAAAAGTCTGGTACCAAGAATCACAATTGACATATAAAATGATCAAGCGAGCCTTAAACGGACACCAAAGCCCCATGTTGAAAATTTTGACCCCTCCCCATATTTTGGCCACTGCTTGGAAGACAAGTGTGGTGACCACACTTTGTCCTAGGGATCCAGTAATGATTGTTTGGAACTGGTCATCAGCTATCAAATATATTTGGTTTATAACCTGGAGAAATAGTTGGTGATAATGTCTACACAATAGACTGTGAAAATCGCTGGGTGTCGCTTCAATTGAAACCCTGAAAATGCTTACTGTACCAGTTTATTTACAAAATAACTTGTTCCATTTCAGTTACATACAACTTGAGTATGAAGGTTGGTGACGTGCGCGGATCTGGTGCTGATGGTAATGTCTATATACAACTGTTTGGTACTGAAGGCAAGACCGCCAAGATACAACTACGCCAGGCTGGGGATACCAGGAACAAATTTGAGAAAGGAAAGACTTATAAATTCACAGTTGATACAGTCGACATTGGACAGGTACATTGTATAAAACTTGTCAATCTAATATCATGGTGAGATGGTTAATTTTTTTCCAGTTTATCGATTAACCACCTCCCTCCACAATCTAATTTTGAGTCTTACCCAATAAACAAATTTACCTCACCAGAGGCTCAAAATAACAGCTGGTCAATGGACAATGACCAGCCAGAAATGCCTCTTGACCGGTCACTTTTTTACCTCACTGGTCATTTTGACTGGCCTGACATTTTCATGCCTTCCAATGCGATTGCTGACGTCTTGAATTAAAACATGAAACTATGATGTATCGAAACAAGTTTCTAATAGTTTGTTTCACTGTTAGTTTAAGTGTATCAATGACCAGTCATATTTTGACCAAGCTAAAATCAAGTTGACCCGTCATTTTGACCAGAGACCTATCTCCCATTATTTTGAGCCCTGTTCACAATTCTTTTGGGGTTTTTTCTTTCAGCTTGAGCGCATCAAGCTCAGTCACGACCACCGTGGATATGGTTCAGGTTTTTTTGTTGATGAAGTGGAGGTCGAGGTTCCCTCAAGGAATGACCGAGTTACCTTTCCTTGTCATTGTTGGTTGGCCCAGGATGTGGATGGTGGACGAACTGAGATGGTCGCATCACAACCATCTAAACCGCCCCAGCCTAGTAAGTTAAGATCATTGACTGGAATGACTGATTGACTGCCCAACCAGGTGAACCAATTGTTCAGGGGTCGTTCATTTTTTTGTGTGACTGCGACCGCAAAAATTATTTGAAAATGTGCCTGCAAAATGTCTTCATGCAACATGTGAAATTGAGCCATCAGCCATGAATTACAGAACTATAGATGCCGATTAGTAGACTGGCTTATTAGTTATGACTATGTATTAATTTAAGTATTTTTGGTTCAAGAAATCAAGAATTTTAAGCTCAGGCTCACAATCTCTAGAAATTTTAACTTGTCAGTAAACTAACAGTAACAAATACATAATAAAATAAGAATTATAAAATTTATTTTATAACTTCTGGCTTCAAAAGTTTTACAAAATGTGCCTGCAAGTCCCCACTTTAATGGCCCATGCAACTGTTACTACTTGGTTGTGGGCTTGTGGCTAGCTGACAGATACTGTAGATTCACTGACTGAATGGTTGAGCGAGTACTCTTAATTATCCATGGCGACCGTGTGCCATGGTTTGTCATGGAAAATCCATATCAGTATTGAATTTCTCTCTTTCAGCAAAAATCTACACAGTTTCAGTTCGTGTTGGCGAAGTGGTGAACTCTCAGACCAGTCTTTATATCCAGTTGTTTGGTGAAAATGGAGAAACAAGCAAGATCATGCTGAGACCTGCCGGCCCATCTCTGACAAAATTTGAACCCGGGAGAACATACAAGTTTACTGTTGAAACTGTTGACATTGGCAAGGTATGTCTATAACTACAGACAATACACTAAACTAACTTTATTTATACTGGATATTGTTGATTGTTCTATCAGTTCTAAACTGTTCTCCTTAGAGGTCCAGAGTCATACTGTAGCTATATTTTATACCGGATAGCTCTATCAGTTCTAAACTGTTCTTCACAGAGGTTGAGTAAGGATCATCTCTTATTGATCCAGTGTTACTACAGGAGGAAACCTAAACTAAACTAACTTTATTTATACTGGATAACTTTATCAGTTCTAAACTGTTCTTCACAGAGGTCCAGTAAGGATCATCTCTTATTGATACAGTGTTACTACAGGAGGAAACCTAAACTAAACTAACTTTATTTATACTGGATAGCTCTATCAGTTCTAAACTGTTCTCCCTAGAGTCCAGTAAGGTTACCCCTTACTGATCCAGTGTTACTACAGAAAGAAACCTAAACTAAACTAACTTTATTTATATGGTACTGATTACTGGATAGCTTTACCAGTTCTGAACTGTTCATTGCTTCAGTATGTAGTCAAACTGGAAGCACTCACTTTAATTGTGACACCTAAATTGAAGCCACTATAATGCACCCCCCTGTGTTTTATTTCAGATTGAGAGATTACGTATGGGTCAAGACAGTAAGACAGGGGGTCAAGGACTGTATGTGGAGACAATTGAGATCGACCCTGAAGGCGGAGAGAATGTGGTGTTTCCATGTCATGCTTGGTCTGAGGAGGACGACCTGAAATCTCAGAGAGACATTTATCCCGAGCCTGAATATTCAGGTGAACCTAAAGCTAGTAAGTATTCACCAAACCGTTCGCTAGACCATACCTTGGAATAGCATTATATAAAAAAATTAACTGATGTCGCAACACATAATTCAACGTTTGGGCAAAAATAAAAACACACTGTCAATTAACTATAATGAATAAAAAATTCAAATGGTGGTTTCCTTTGCTGTCCGGAGTTCCCACCATTACCTTAGCCACCATTCGTGGGATGGTTTAGCATTATACAGCCATGCCAAGTAAAAAATTAATAGGTTGTACTTTGCAAACCTTAAACTCTAAAGCTTAAATCTTAAACTCTATGTGTGCAAAGCTTAAAGTTCAAAGTGTGATTAACCCCAAATATGATTTTTTGTATGTGTAATATTTGGGTCATTCTAAGAAGAAATGTAATATATCTTTATAATAAAAAATCCCATCTTGATCAACTTTTTCACTGTCAAAGTTTCCGGATATGATGTCATTAGGTGAATTTCAAATTATTTTTCCTTTGTTTTTTGTACCAAAAATTCACCTAATGACCTCATATCCGGGAACTTTGACAGTGAAAAAGTTGATCAAGATGAGGTTTTTTATTATAAAGATATATTACATTTCTTCTTAGAATGACCCAAATATTACGCATGCCAAAAATTATATTTGAGGTTAGTCACACTTTAATGGGAGCACACGTTTCAAGCTTAGTAGTTGAAAATTGCAGCTATTTGTGAATGAATTGTTCTTGTAAGGAGATATTTATTATGTCTCTAAGAAATGGGCCCCATATATGATTTCTAAGGTTTAGAGTTTAAAGATGGTGTCCGCTCCTGTGCTCATGCGCGAACTTTGTTTACGTTTTGAACTGCAATATTTGTAAAATATGATATACTAACTGAATATCTAACACTTTTCTGGTTCACTATACTTGTAAATGAATATAAACTCTACGTTTCAATTCAAAAAAGTTCGAAAGATGCTAAATTTGGGCAAGGTTTATATTTGTGGGTCCCCCTTTGTTATGTGCAGAACTGATGCGCAGAACGGAGTGGACATCATCTTTAAGGTTTGCAAAGGACAACCTTTTTGAATTAGTATTATATTATATAAGGGATTTGCTAAACCATCCCTGGGTTGGTTTTTCAGCCAATATTTTTTTGCTGATTATTAACAGTTTCCATTTTTATCTCATTTAGATGTAGACTACCATCTGACCATCCGTACTGGTGACATTGCGGGCGCAGGTACTGATGCTCCGGTATTTATTCAACTGGTTGGTGACGATGGTGAGACCGAGCGTATAGAGCTCAGTCCTGGGGGGACTGGTGACAAGAGATTTGATCGAGGGAGGACTGATAAGTTTGTGATTGGGACTTTGGATGTTGGCAAGGTAAGGGACAAGCGATAACATAACTATTGTACATTGAAATCCTACTGTGTACCTCCAAACCCTACCTTATCCCTTCTTAATGCTTGGTTAAAGTGGCACTGTCATTAAAATTTTTATTTTCGTAAACGAAAATGCTCTTAAAACTGTATAGTAACTTGTTTTGAAGATTTTTGTTTCAATGCTTAGTTCTTGAGATATTTCATTTTGTTTGTAACCATGTGACGTCATTTACTCAACTACATCTATAAGGAGATATCAGTAATTGTTTGTGTATTGTATCTTTGCTATTTTTTATCAAAATCTTTCCAAAGATGCGGCGCGTTTTTTAATTTAACTTGTACATCATTAAGCACACTGTTTTTTTAAACAAATCCATCAAAAATAGCAAAGATACATAACATTTACTGATATCCCATGTAATTGAGTAAATGACGTTACATGGTTTCAAACAAAATGAAATATCTCAAGAACAAACCAATTTTATCAAAAGAAGTTACTTTACAGTTTTAGTAGTTCTCTCGTTTGAGGCAATAATGACAATGCCATTTTAAATATAATGAATATACAGTAAAATATACAGTAAGTAATTTTATTTAAAATTTATTATTCAATGTTTACCCCAAAAGCAAACTGCTTATGGGGGGGGGAGGCTTACATCTATACTTATATAACATTTTAACACACAAATGGTACACATACCCAGACAAAATAAGATATTAATATAGAAATATTAAACATCAAAGGTGGATGCTGCAAAACGACATGTGTTTAAAATAAATTGTTGAACTATTGAAAACAATACACAATTTTCTTCATAATTTACTCAAGTTCGAGTCGTTCTTCATAAGTAATTTTGTTTTTGCCATTGCCAAAACTCTCTACCTACTGTCAACTTGCATTAATAATTTGTTTTATTCTCCTCTCTCATTCCAGCCACATACAATCCGTATCGGTCACTTGGGTCGTGATAGGGATTCCAATTGGTTCTTAGATGAAGTGATTGTTGATATTCCTACACGTAACGAACACTATCTTTATCCCTGTAAATCCTGGCTTGCAGCTGATGAAGGTGATGGCAAAACCGAGACAGAACTGTATGGGGGTAAGTGGTTTTGTTGCTTTGTCAGCATGCTGAAATAAATTGACTACATGTACTGTAGATAGATTTATTTTTCTTGTGGATGTCATGTCTTTATACCCTCACGAAAAAATCTATACAGTAGGTGCCTATAGAAAATGTTTCAATTCCTTATAGAAGCCTTATTACGCACCCATAGAGCTCTATAGACTTATAGGCATCCCTATAGGTCATCCATAGAAAATGTTCCAATTGTCTATAAAAACCTATAGGTTTCCTATAGCAACCTATAGGTTGGCCTGTAGGCCTGACCTGTGGGGGCTTCTGTGGCCAAGTGGTTAGCGCGCTTGCCCTTCACCTCTAAGGCCACAGGTTCAAGCCTCAGTGAGAGCTCTCTCTCAACGCGACCCGAACCCAGTCCTCATGTGGAAAGAGCCAAAGTCAACACTCTGCCGAAAGTCGTGGGTTTCTTCCCACAGGGAAAGTTGACAGGGCGGGTTAAGTAAAAAGCAATTGGCATATGCTGTTGTGGTGTCCCTGCCCTAGTTGGCAAAGCTAAATAAATAAATATCTTTCTTTATTCTCAGAGGTCTACAAAGTCCCGCTTGGTGCCGGGGCACCACCTTCATCCCAACCCCCCATAACTAAGCAACCATCTTACGAAGACGACACCACAGAGGAACGACCTCCATATAAGGAAGAAGACGAAGCCAATCAGCGACCGTCATATAGAGAGGAGAATGTGCCTGAAGATAGACAACCAATTATTCAGGATACTATTCAAACTACAGAAACAGAGAATGTTGAAACCTTACCGGAATTTAATACCCAGGGATCTCCACCTCGAAGTATATCCCCGGAGAATCGACCACCATACAAAGAACGAACCTCGGCTAAAGCACCGCTGACTGATGACGTGGACAGTAAAACCAGTAAGTGGGGTCATGTTGCAATGAGATCCCCCCCCTCCTATAAGAACTGCAGACCAAGGCCAGATTTTGGTGGAAATAGTGGGGGAGGTGGAAAAAATTTAGTTGCAGCGGTCTAGCTGACGACCGCCATGGAAAGTCGTTTAGAACGGGCCAAAGTCAACGATGTGACGTGTGCATGTATAGTGTACAATGTATAAGTGTACAGTATTAATGAATTATGATTGTACAACTCATCCAATTTTGCTCTTTATTACAATTACTACAAAGTTTCTTTCAAAACATTGCATTAAAAGGGTACTTGACACACAGATGAATGGCTATCACTGTTTCAATTTTACAGAAAAAAACTTTCTTACGAAGTGTGGACCCAAAGCAACAAAAAAGTAAAATTTTCACTTTGATCCATGATTGAAACTTTCCCAAGGGGAGGTGCATGACTTCAGAGGAGGTTCAAAAATTCTCAGGAGAGCTGCAAAACGATCTCAGGAGAGGTGCGCACCACCCCACACCTGGGGGGGGGTTAGGGGGGTTAAACCCCTCCTAGAATATATTTAACCCCTCTAATAAAGTGTTCAACCCCACCAAAATTTTGCTTCACCACTCCTATTTTGTGTGAAAGGCTTCAACCCAAACGCCTAACGTCTGCTGAAGCTCACTGAGTGGTGTCGCTTGCACCCCACCAGAAATTTTTCTACCCCTCCTTCTTAATAAATGAAAATCCGCCCTAGACCCAAAATCCGGCCATGCCGCAGACCTTAGTGATTTTCTCGACTCTTTATTTACTAGATGTCACCTACGAGTTGTGTCTCAAAATGGGAGATGTCCAAGGAGATGGGACTGAAGGGTCTGTATTTGTGGAACTGATTGGCAGCAACGGCAAGACTGAGAGAATAGTGTTGAGAGAGGCAAATGATTCGAGAATCAAGTTTGAGAAAGGAAAAAGTTATAAGTTTACCATCGAGACCGCTGATATAGGTTTGGTAAGTTAGGATACATTTGCAAACATTCTTTCAAATTTCAGTATGCATTACCAGGCCAGCAAATAATTATTTTACTTGGAAGGACAAATGTCTGGCCAGGCCAAAACTTGGTCGGACATTTATCAATTTTTCTCGGACAACGGACAAAGTAAAATTTTTCATATTTATTTTTGAGAATTGGCACGGTGTATTTTTTGCCTGGTCATGAATAGTCCGCACTGCAATGCATCTAAAACTTAGTATATATCTACCAGTCCTAATGCATCAGTAAATTATGGCTCAGGTTATACATAATTTTAATTTCTACCATATATACGAAGATGATGTAGATTTATAATGGAATCTTACGGCTTAATGCAGCAAGAAATAGTGGAAAAGTGCTGTCTATATTGCTTTCTTGTTGGTTTGATTAGGAAAAAAATGTTAAATAAACATTTTTTTGAGGTTGGAAAATTGCCTAAATCAGTCGCATGTCTGGTCACAGAAAGCTTTGATTGGACAAAAGGTAAAATTTGGTGACCGGCACTAATTTGTAGGCCTGCATTACATGCACTATATACTTGCTCAGTTTATCACTATACAATATTCTTGTATGAATGGAATGGCCATAACAGAATATCTTGCTTCATCAGGTCGAGAAAGTCCGCGTTGGTCATGATGCTCATGGTCCTGGACTGGGATGGTATCTGGAGGAGCTGAGTGTCACCGTACCATCACGTGATGAACATGTGGTGTTCCCATGTAATTGTTGGTTGGCCGAGGATCAAGGTGATGGGAAACTGGAACGAGAGTTATCCTCAACACAAGGTACAGGCAGTAATTACAACCACAAGTAGTTTGCAGTACGTTAAAGTGCCAAGCATAGATATCTTATATACACTAGACAGTGCATCTAATTATTCTGCAATTCAAAAATTGAAGCTGTGATTGCAGACTCGGGATATTCCCATGAAATGAAAAGATTCGTATGTTTTCTATTTCTTAAACACAGAACTTAAATATTTAAGTTAAACCTATTCCAAATACATTTTTAAACTGTTCAAATGATGAAAGTTATTGTTGTTTTTAAGCGTTCATTAGCGAGTTGGAAACTCCAACATGGCCGCAGTCTATTCAAATGGGGGGTAACCGCTAGAATATTCTTGGCTTCAATTTTACTAAAAGAGATGGCCAACTAGTGTATATAAGATATCTATGGTGCCAAGACGTAAATGTGTAAATAGCTTCTGAAACGTCTTAATGAGAACATTCGTAATCTTCGAGATTTAAAGTTTATATAAGTCAGCATGATTTTGTATCAGATATACAAACTCCTTCATGGTCTTGATGTTATTCCTGTTTTCTTTGTGAATTATGAATGAGTTTTCTCTTGTGATTTTTAGCAACCTACCATCTTGCCCTGGCTACGGGTGATGTCGCCAATGGTGGAACAGAGGCAGTACCTTATATTCAGATCTTTGGCGAGAGAGGTGATACTGGTGTGATCGAACTGAGGAAGGAAGCAAACAGTGGCTTTGTTCGAGGAAAAACTGATTTCTTTAACGTAGATGCCGTCGACGTTGGAAGGGTATGTGCTGAAATATAAAATTAAAACATAAAATAAATAGAAGTTATTGGGATGTTGGCGGCGCAGTTGTTAATGCATGTGTCTTAGGTTTCCTCCTGTAGTAATCCTGGATCAATAAGAGATGATCCTTACTGGACCTCTAGGGAACTGGTAGAGCTATCCAGTATAAATAAAGTTAGTTTAGTTTAGGTTTCCTCCTGTAGTAACACTGGATCAATAATAGATGATCCTTACTGGACCTCTAGGAAGAACAGTTTAGAACTGATAGAGCTATCCAGTATAAATAAAGTTTGTTTAGTTTAGGTTTCCTCCTGTAGTAACACTGGATCAATAAGAGATGATCCTTACTGGACCTCTAGGAAGAACAGTTTAGAACTGATAGAGCTATCCAGCATAAATAAAGTTAGTTTAGTTTAGGTTTCCTCCTGTAGTAACACTGGATCAATAAGAGATGATCCTTACTGGACCTCTAGGAAGAACAGTTTAGAACTGATAGAGCTATCCAGTATAAATGAAGTTAGTTTAGTTTAGGTTTCCTCCTGTAGTAACACTGGATCAATAGGAGATGATCCTTACTGGACCTCTAGGAAGAACAGTTTAGAACTGATAGAGCTATCCAGTATAAATAAAGTTAGTTTAGTTTAGGTTTCCTCCTGTAGTAACACTGGATCAATAATAGATGATCCTTACTGGACCTCTAGGAAGAACAATTTAGAACTGATAGAGCTATCCAGTATAAATAAAGTTAGTTTAGTTTAGGTTTCCTCCTGTTAGTTTAGTTTAGGTTTCCTCCTGTAGTAACACTGGATCAATAAGAGATGATTCTTACTGGACCTCTAGGAAGAACAGTTTAGAACTGATAGAGTTATCAAGTATAAACAAAGTTAGTTTAGTTTAGGTTTCCTCCTGTAGTAACACTGGATCAATAAGAGATGATTCTTACTGGACCTCTAGGAAGAACAGTTTAGAACTGATAGAGCTATCCAGTATAAATAAACTTAGTTTAGTTTAGGTTTCCTCCTGTAGTAATACTGGATCAATAAGAGATGATTCTTACTGGACCTCTAGGAAGAACATTTTAGAACTGATAGAGTTATCCAGTATAAATAAAGTTAGTTTAGTTTAGGTTTCCTCCTGTAGTAACACTGGATCAATAAGAGATGGTCCTTACTGGACCTCTAGGAAGAACAGTTTAGAACTGATAGAGCTATCCAGTATAAATAAAGTTAGTTTAGTTTAGGTTTCCTCGTGTAGTAACACTGGATCAATAAGAGATGATCCTTACTGAACCTCTAGGGAAAACATTTTAGAACTGATAGAGCTGCCCTGTGTAAATAAAGTTTAGTTTAGTTTAGGTTTTCTCTCCTGTACAGTAGTAACACTAGATCAATAAGAGATGATATCCAGTATAAAAAAGTTTAGTTTTACAACGGCTTTAGAAATCATTTCCAATGACTGTAATTTTGTCATTTGTGTTTTTAGATTGAGAAGATCCGTGTGGGTCACGATGGTCAGGGTTATGATGGCGGATGGTTCCTGGAGGAAATTGTATTAGATTGTCCTCAACATGGCGAACATCTGATATTCCCTGCTCATTGTTGGTTATCTGATGTCGAGGCTGATAGACAGGTTGAGCGAGAGTTCCTGCCTGAGCCAGGTAATATACGTGTGTGGTCAGATGACCAAGTGATGGGAAATGTTTAGATCTGGAATTAAAAAGAAATCTATGTGCCATTTATTATTATTAGCATGACCAATTTACTGGATGCTGATTGGTTGAGAGGAGTACACTAATTATTTCATTGTACCGCAGTACAATTAATGATTTTCCCAAAACAAACAAAATGGCGGAAAGGTATTTAAACACAAATGAAATTGGCCTATTGAGGAACTTAAAGCAAAAGAACTAAATGAAAATACGAACAAAAGCACCAAATTTTGGTTGAAAGTCTGGACTGGGCTTTGGCGAGAGAATATGATGTTGACATTGAGAATTATCCAATTTTGTCATGCTAATAATAAACAAGTACTGTAATCATGCGATGTTGCTCGTACACCCGTCCAATTTTTTGGCAAAATTTCCAAACATCACTCGTACTGTTAATCCCTAATTGTACGAGCAACATCACATGATTATGTTTGTGATGTTACTCTGAGTGTATATTCACACCGGGTAAGCTTGAAAAATATACCTGGCCACGGTGGGAATCGAATCTACAACCTTTGGAATACCAACCCAATGCTCTGCCAACTGAGCTAAGCGGTCAGGTCGGTTCGAGCATGTGATATTTCGGAACTGAGTCTAGTTCCTTCGATATCAATGCAATCTAGTAAGCAACCTAATTAAAAGGAGCTAGTTTCGCCCCTGCACCAACACAGAAAAAAATCACATGATTAGCTATACCAATTTTTTCCTCTCTTTAGTCGCACCCTACAAGGTCTTCGTCAGAACAGGCACGAGACAGGGGGCAGGTACGGATGCCAGTGTATATATGCAGATATTTGGGGATCAAGGGGACACAGGAATCATTGATATGAAACAAGTCATGTTATCGACGTCGGGTCAGTTTGCTGCAGGAATGGAATGTAAACTAGAAATGGAGACTGTCGATGTTGGAATGGTAGGATTTATTGAATGTGGTTTTTCAAGTTTAGAAAGTTTGTTGAATTCCTCATGATTCCGATCCCATTCAGAAGAACTCTTAAAATTTCATATTAAACTCTATTACCGATTTGTCATATCTTGCTTAGGTCTTGAAATATTTAGACCGAAATTAATGACCTATCCGCCATCTTGGACTAATTCTTGACCTCATTAACTATGGTTTTGATGACGTCAGGAGTTGGGTTAACCATATAAAACTACTCTAAAATGACCGAGGAACAATCCAAAATTGTTTGAAATGTTTTTAATCATTTCTAAATTTCAGAGAACAACCAGAAACGAAGTGTTTGAAGATAAAAAATTTAGCGTGACCCCTCTCTTGAAGCAACATGCATTCCAGGGATGGATTTGCTGGGGTGCGGGTGGGGGGGGGGTGTGCATCCCCCTAGCCCTGGCCAGAGAGGGTGCAGGGGGTGCTATTTTTCATGATAAAGCACAAAATTATTAGAGACAAAATGAGATACAGTAATTTGAGTGATAACATGATGATAAGCAAACTGTGAACAACAATTACAATTCAAATACAGTATAGTCAAGCAAGACTTTGCAGTAGTGAAGCAAGTTGATGGGCGGGCGGCACACATGACCGACACAACTCGGCACCAGAGCTGGCAGAGCACCCCCCCCCCCCCTGGATCCATCCCTGATGCATTCGTATCCTCAATAATCTAAGATGGCGAACAGCTCATTTTTTCAGTCGAAATATTTTGAAAACTATAAGCAAGATATAAACAATGTGTAATAGAGTTTAATATATAGTTTTAAGAGTTCTTTCAAATGAACTAAACTATTTTTTATTGCCACTGTCCTTTAATTTTTCGTTGTCTAATTTATTTAGTTGGAAAAAGTTCGCATCGGTCACGACAACAGTGGTCGAGATCCTTCGTGGTACTTAGATGAAGTAATGATCATTCTTCGTGAGGAGTGCTGGGTCTTGCCGTGCCATGATTGGTTGGATGAAACCAGAGGTGACACGGAGCGAATGTTATTCCCTGAGACCAAGACATTTGCCCAAGAGCCCGACCTTGAGGATTTGATCGCATACTTAAATAGCAATGATGTAGTGTTAATTGTTAATGCTGAAGCTTATTTGCAACATTTGTTCTACAAAGATGAGGGAATTAAAAGCAAGTTTAGGTAAGAGGGATTGACTAGTATTAACTAAACTAACTTTGTTTATACTGGATAGATCTATCAGTTCTAAACTATTCTTCCTAGAGGTCCAGTAAGGATCATCTCTTCTTGATCCAGTGTTACTACAGGAGGAAACCTAAACTAAACTAACTTTATTTATACTGGATAGCTCTATCAGTTCTAAACTGATCTCCCTAGAGGTCCAGTAAGGATCATCTCTTATTGATCCAGTGTTACTACAGGAGGAAACCTAAAATAAACTAAACTTATTATACTGGATAGCTCTGTCAGTTCTAAACTGGGGTCCGGTAAGGATCATCTCTTATTTATCCAGTGTTACTACAGGAGGAAACCTAAACTAAACTAACTTTATTTATACTGGATACAGTAGCTCTATCAGTTCTAAACTATTCTTCCTAGAAGTCCAGGAAGGATCATCTCTTCTTAATCCAGGGTTACTACAGGAGGAAACCTAAACTAAACTAACTTTATTTATACTGGATAGCTCTATCAGTTCTAAACTATTCTCCCTAGAGGTCCAGTAAAGATCATCTCTTGTTTGTCCAGTGTTACTACAAGAGGACACCTAAACTAAACTAACATGTTTTCATTCCAGAGCTTTAAACGGTATCAAACCTCTGATCCAGTTGCTGGATAGCAGGAACGAAGATATACACAGAGGAGCAGCCGCGACATTGAGGAACTTATCCTTCAGTAAAACTAACGACGAAAATAAGGTAGGCGTGGAATTGATGAATTCTTTAAAAAAAAGAAAATATGCTCCATAGGTCCAGTAAAGGCCATCTCCTGTTCGTCCTGCGATAGTACAAGTCTACAAGACCTAAATTTACATTTATCACCGTATAGGTTTACCCTATAATAGCGCACTGCATGATTCAGTATTACGACAGTGATAAATTGAATTATAGTTTTAAATTAATCCAGATTTGAAATTTATTTAGATTCACATTTGTCGTTGTGATGGTATCAAAGCTATGGTGCGATTGCTTCAACGAACTGACAGACTAGAGGTAAATGACTTCAAAACTGTTAAAACTTAAGGCGTTTGCTCCTGTTCTTTAAACACTGACTCATTTTATGTTTCTAGCTGAAAGAATTATTGCTGTCGATTATTTGGAATTTATCATCTTGTGAAGTAAGTAATGACCTTGAAAACGAACTTCAGCATAGAGTATTTTTGCTATACATACAGTACCGTGTTTTTGTTTTGAGCCATGCCAAATATATGCAGGGTGTCCACGGGCCTTGAAAATCCTGGAAAGTCCTTGAATTGGAAAAAAAATTCCAGGACTGGAAAGTCCTTGAAAATCATTAGAAGTCCTTGAAAGTCCTGCATGAATTAATTTCCTTAACCTCCAGCTGTGTCAATATTAGTGATTTTGATTAAAATTACTGAATAAAGTGAATTATTTACGGCAAATCCGTGCCATTTTCAAAGATTTTTCCCAGTTCTAGGTCCTAGAATTCCACCTTCACGAAAGGTTGGACACCCTGTATATGTGCTGTATGGTAGAGAATGAAGACATCCTTAAAGCTACTACCTGTAGGCTCAGTAAAACTCAGATTTTCCAAGTTTCATTCCTGGCAATTTCTTACAAACGTTTTTCATGTAATTCCAGGAACTCAAGAGACACATTCTCGAAGAATGTTTAGTTCTAGTTGTGACAACTTTTGTTATCCCAGATTCTGGTTGGGACAAACGTGATATTGAACCTGTCAGATGGACTATCTGTTTCAGAAATGCCACTGGTAAGCATCCTGAATGGTCTTGTGCACCACCTTCAGATTTGCAATAATAAATTTACGTGGTGTTTCCACAAACAAAAAGTATTATATGTTACTATGTGTTGTTCAAGGTATATTACGAAATCTGTCGTCAGCTGGTTTGGAAGCAAGAAAAAAGATGCGTGATGTAGTTGGATTGATTGACGCAATGTTATACGTGATCAGACTCTCTCTGGGAAAACCTGGGACGGATCCCAAGGTAAAACACACTTCATTGCCTTAATTAACTCATTAAGTTGCATTGCGCCCGAGGGCACCCTATTTTATTATTTTACTCTGTCTAATGCTAGACAGTTTTATTATTAAGTTATTATAATAAGTGTTCGTCTGGTGTTAGACAGAGTCAAATAGTAAAGAAGAGCGCATTATATAATAACTACAGTGAAACACGCAATCTGATTGGTCAATAGCCGTGCAGGATCAGGCTATCCTGCACGAGGAATTAAAATGCCTTCGCGAGATTTTCGCGGGATTCTCAAAATGTCATTAGCCGTGTTTACACTACGAGCCTAAGCCTGACCTGGGCCTATCTTTGGACTCGATTTTTGTAGTGTAAACGCACTTCGGCCTGGCCTAGGTTAGGACATCTGGAACACCTGTTCTGATAGGCCCAGATTTCCTGACCTAGGCCAGGCCGAAGTACGTTTACACCACAAAAACCTAGTCCAAAGACAGGCCTAGGCCAAACTTAGGCTCGTAGTGTAAACACGCCTATTGTTTCACTGTAGTTATTTTATAAAACAATTACCAAATGGTTTTCCAAGCAGGATAGCGTCATCCATACACTTGGGATATCGCTGGACTTTCGGAAAGCGTAAAAATACACTCGCCTGCGGCTCGAGTATTTTTACGCTTTCCGAAAGTCCTGCACGGAAAACCATTCGGTATTCCTTTATTGGGGCACAATGCAATTGACTTACACCCGTTTTCAAAATTACGCGACCTCCCTGAAAAATACTCCTACTTCAAATGTCAGTTTTATGTCCCAAGAACTGCTAAAAATAGCAAACGTAAACAAACTGTCTAAAGACATTTTAAACCGTATTTAATACCAATACTGAACAAAAATGAGTCAGATAACTTAGATATACAAACTAAAGCACAATACAAACCATCACAACAGAAATATGTTCTGTGAATGACTTTTAAAGTTTGAAAAATAACAGTTTATCCTGGAATTTAGCTGTCAGTATAAAACACGCGCGCTAGACTATAACGGTGATGTTATGATTCTGTTTTGCTTAAATTTTACAATAATTCTCACTTAACGGCAGAGTATCCGAGTTTGGAGGTAGGTGCCGTTGGTGGCCAAGGCTAGTCGGCGATCTAGCCTTGTCGGGCAAATGACCGCAATGGCAAACATTAGGCAAAACACTGGCAAACATTTATGGCAAACTGGCAAATGGCAAAACTGGCAAACAGCAATGGCAAACAGCTATGGCAAAACAGCAAAAAACGTAATAATAAGGCTAATTATAGTAGCAATAGGAGTTTGCCATGACAATTCTGCCAAGGCAGACCTCCGGCACCTGTCACACTGATGATCAGTGGAAAAAAGGACGCATTCTATAGTAGTCTATAGATTGTATCCTATAAAGAAAAACAAATAAAAAAAAACCCCGATACAACCAAAACAAAACAACAAAAAACAAAACTAAAACAAAATAAAGAAATTAACCCGAGTATCAACAAACATTACCAGGGTGGGGAAAGGGCGAAGGGGAACAGAGCGAAAGAGCAGTTGTAGCTGGCTAGCCAAGCTGTAGCAAAGTGACGGATGCGCGATAATTGCAACTGTTCTAAGTGACGTCAGGGGCTCCCCGCTGCTAGATACATCTGCCGTTAACTTCGCTTAAATCTACGTTTAACCACATTAAAAAATCTTCAAAATCATTGTACGTCTGTTTATATAAAGCATACAAAGCATATACATCGACAAGGAACCGCAAAACTCAAAGTTTGAACATCGTGATCGAATGACATAAAACTGACATGTCAACTCTAGCATTTTCGTCCTTGGTCGCGTAATTTTGAAAACGGGTGTAATGGGTTTTAATCAAGAAACATGCACACTGTGTCATGAACATCTTGGGCTAATCTTGTTCTAATTTCTCATCGTCAATAGACTGTAGAGAACTGTGTGTGTATATTGCGTAATCTCTCGTATCGTTTGGAAGAAGAAGTTGACCGTAATAAGTACCTGGACACTGATTTGGACCCAGACCGCCCGGACAGGACCATATATGGTGGTCCCGATAAAACCACCGCAGGATGCTTTAGCAAAAAGTCAAAGAAGAAAGGCAACTCTGACCAAATGCCAGTGGATCGCAATGGACCGAATGCTAAAGAAGGTGTGGCATTACTATGGCAACCTGAGACTTTAAGTCCGCTGCTCACATTGCTAGCGGACTCAACCATCGCCGAGACTCTCGAAGCAGCCGCTGGCATGATTCATAATTTGACTGCATGCTCATGGAGGGTAAGTTACTTAATTTATAATGTGTGATACATATATATACTACATGCATACGTCACGTCGTTGACTTTGGCCCGTTCTAAGCCCCAACTTTCCATGGGGGTCGTGAGCTAGACCGCTGCACCTATTTCTACCAAAATCCGGCCTTGGTAGGATGAATGCTTCCAGTTTGACTCTAGTATATCATATTATATTTCATTGTGTAGTGGTCAGCATTATTACGTTCAACACTGAGACGAGAGAAAGGTCTTCCGATCTTAGTCGAACTACTCCGAGTCGATGACGACAGTGTTATTCGGGCTGATGCGACTGCACTTCGGAATCTGGCACTGGACACCAGAAACAAAGTTGTTATAGGTAAGATTCAACAAGAAAATTTCCAAATTTTACAAAACATATGCTTCACCAAAATATGTACATTTTCCCAAACTTTTATGAGGCGAAACTAATTGTTTTGATGAGAGAAATGGTTTTCGACAATTTTCGGAAAGTTTCAGAAGCTTTGGAGTGAGTTGGGTCACTTTTTGAATTTTCAAAAAATTTCCTGTGATCCTCCCTTTGTTCTGGTCCCGCCTTTGCATTTGATTAAAGTTTTCAAAACTGTTTTTACCAGTCGAAAGTGATTGTTTTGATGAGAGATGGTTTTCGACAATTTTCAGAAAGTTTGGAGTAGGTTGATGCATTTTTTTAATTTTGGAAAAAATGTTTTGTCAAGGACATTAAGGTGTAATTTTAAGGCTATATAGTGGAGATGTTTTCCCTGAGGAAGCGTCTTCTGTTTTTCAGGGAAATATGCGATGAAGGATCTCGTCTACAGATTACCTCCGGGTGAAGGAAGTCAGGGTATCACTGAACCAACGTATGGTGCTATTATCTGTACCATACATCAACTCGTTGACCAGGATTCACAGAATGCCAAGTAAGATATCTTGTTTACGTCCATCTTGTTTGCTTACCGAACGTTTAATATTTAGCTATTATTTTATACTGGATAACTCTATCAGTTCTAAACTGCTCTTCACAGAGGTCCAGTAAGGATCATCTCTTATTGATCCAGTGTTACTACAGGAGGAAACCTAAACTAAACTAACTTTATTTATACTGGATAGCGCTATCAGTTTTAAACAGTTCTTCCTAGAGGTCCAGTAAGGATCATCTCTTATTGATCCAGTGTTACTACAGGAGGAAACCTAAACTAAACTGACTTTACTTATACTGGATAGCTCTATCAGTTCTAAACTGTTCTCTCTGGAGGTCCAGTAAAGATCTTGTCCTATTGCTCCAGTGTTACAACAGGAGGAAACCTAAACTAAGTTGTTTTTTCAGTTCCTGTTTGGGTCGCCACTTTTATTGCCAATATTTTAATATTGGTCAAGTGTAGATATAACCAGAGTTAAAAGTTTCATATTCTTGATGTATTGTCGTTCCATTTCTAGAGCCGTTCGTGATGTAGGAGGTGTTATAAAGCTTGTCAAAATTGCCAAAGGAAATTACAATCCTAAAGTTGTTAAAACTGCCAATCAGGTATGCGCGTTTTGAACGCAGTATTTAATGTGATCCTAACCCCAAATATGATTTACGATACGAGTGATATTTGCGTCGTTCTAAGAAAGAAATATATTTCTTGTAAAAACTAGTGGCGAGCCTAGCCATGGGCATGCTATGCGAATAAAGCCTGTTTTCCACTTCAGTCGTATCGTACCGAAGTGTATTTCTTTGTTTCCTGAGCACTAGAGTGGAACTATTGACTTCGATACAAAAGAGAATGCTTTTGAAGTGCAAAACAGGCTTAAACCTTCATCTACATGGGTTAAGGACAGTACATTTCTAAAAGGTTTGATAATGCGAATGATTAAAAATTTGCATATAGCATGACCTTTTTAACCTACAGTATGACCAGCGTCACTGAGACACAGAAAAGTGTATTTCGTCTATCTAATTACTGAAACCGTTCTTCCTGTTTTCCACAATGGATTACCCAAGTATTTGTCAGATGAATTAGAACGCATCCAAAAACGCGCAATGCAAATTATATTCCCAAACATTAAATATCAGGACGCACTAAAAACCTGTAACTTATGTTCTTCATACGAACGAAGAAAATACCTAACGAATAAACTCTTTGAAGAAATATGTTCTGATCCCAACCATAAACTGCATTATCTGGTGCCGAAACCGATATTGGACAAAGGAATAGACGCACGTTTAATTTTCCTATGTGTAAAACAGATAACTAAAAAATAGTTTTATATTTAGTAATTCATGAAGTAGGGGAGCTTTTTAATGTTAGTTTATATAGTTTTTGCATATTACATGTAAAATTAGCTTATCACTATTTTATAACTTTTATATCATGTAAATTTATATACAATTGATGATTCCCCTTATTACGTTTTGGTAGCGCTTTGCATTGTGGTTATACTGGTATCACTGATATTCAAGATGGCTTATTTTTTGTCCTGACCCGTGCAAGAACTTTTAAAAAAAAGCTAGGGTCAGGTGCGCGATAGCCAACAGCAAAATATTCGCGAAAACATTCAATATTTTCATTCGAGGCCGCTATCTTTATCAGTGATACCACTATAATCACAATGCAAAGCGCCAGATTGATGATTCCCCTTATTACGTTTTCGTAAATAAACTATCTATCAATCTATCTATATCTATTTATCTGCCGTTGTTTTAAGGTTCTTGTTTCAATGTGGAATTTCAAAGAAACGCGAACGGTGATAGACAAGGCCGGCTGGCAATACACCAAAAACATTGCAGACGAGTATGGCCAATCACCGCGCCCGAAAGCTTATGACGATGTCTCCCTACCCCGCAGTGCTCACAAATCATACAACAATCAACCTCGTTATCCACCACCAGCCACAGATACCCCTGACGAGACGCGTGATCTCGAAATGCGCGGTTATGCAATCCCGAACTCTGGTGGCGACACTTTCCGATCTTCGCCCGGCGCTGTCCGAGCATCGCCCGGTGCCGCCCGAGCATCGCCCGCAGCTCCGCGAGATGAACCCGTTCCCCATCCCACCGAAGTGCATGCCCCCCCGGAATACGCGAAAGTTAATAAGAATCGTAAGAAAGTTCCGGAGGGTCAGGGCGAAGATGAAGCCGACTCCTGGGTGTGAAAAAAACTGAACTCCTACAAATGGAAATAAATATTTGGATAAAAGCAGAACGGTCTGCCAGAACATGTCAAAATTACATGAAATTTAAGACGTTTATGAGAAATAGTATAATTTTCGCCGCTAAAAATAGCTTCGGCATTTAATAACTCTATGCTCGAAGTTATTTCAACTTTCATGTAGTATTTTCCTAGTATTTTGTAGATAATGCTCTTCATGATATAATATATAATAGTCGTAGGTTTTTCATATTTTCTAGCAATTCTCGGGTATAGTGAAATTCACATCAAAAGGAATTCGCTTCGTTCCTTTATTAATTGTGATTGTAGGCCTGATACGTTTGTTCAGTTTACGTTTCGTGTTTGAAAGTAAACGGTCGACTCGACATTTCTTGGCAGAATTTTTGTCTAACTTTTGCCAAAAGAACCATTGAACGGTTTCTTACTGTTGCCTATCAACACGAAGCTTAAACTCTATGCAAAACACAAATTCCTTATATTGTAAGTAACAGCTGTCCTTTATTTTTACTATACTACTCGAAAACTAAACCTACTTAAATCTAATAAAAATTCTAAAAACACTTGTTTTGACAGATTACGTATAGAACATTTGCTATGACTCGTCTCTGTGTTGTGAATACTCTGTTTCAAGCTCGGGCAGAAGCAGGAAAGATGGCAGGTGGAATCAGCGCCCTGCACGCCCTTTCTACTTACTAAAACTGTCTGTACCAGTGTTGGTATAGTACCAATGTGAAAATGCTGTGCTGAGTGGTTATATTACTACCTTAAAAAATAAGCAGAAACTCGATGTTTCGAGCGAAGGCCCTTCGTCAAGAGTTAGTAGCGAAGGGCCTTCGCAATTTTATATTTAAAATCTACGTTCTCCAGGCTTTGTGTTGGTACTTTATTCCAATATAGAAAGCCAAGCTCTGGGCATGAAAATTGCAGGTTTTTCCCAGTCTGTTACCGAAAATAACTTGAGACGTAAATTTACGAGATGCAGGTTTAAGTTGGGCAGTGGCGGAAATCTTGGTGGGGCAGGGGCGACCGCCCCCCCCCCACCTTCACAGAAAATGACGAATTTTCGGAAATTTTGACCTAAAAGAGAGGGGGGGGAGGCTTTGCCCCCCCCACCGGAAATGTTAAGTCAAATGCCCTGGGGTTGCCCGGGGTGGGGGGAGGCTGATCGCAGTTGGATTTGACTCGTACATTTAATTTACTACACAAAGCTTTCCAAGTTCTAGGACGGTCTGCATCGAAAGTATTGTTAAGCTTATTTGTATATAAGTACTGTTACAATTACAATTGTATATACGTACAATTAACATTTCTAAAGCGCAAATTCACATGCGACTTAATTAGTGACTATGATCAAATGCGCTTTATATCAAGTATTACGCTTACCTAATTATAAATACATACTTAGCGTAGACCCATAGTGGAAAGTAAGCTTTGGCTACCGCAGGAGACTGCCGCAGTTGACAAGACTATACATTCTATCCTGCCGCAATGCCAATACTATGTGTTGATACAACACACCACTGGCGTGTCACCCAAATTATGCCACAGGTATTTCCTAAAAATATCTGCCACAGAATTCTGCCTCACTATCAATTTTACAGTTTTTCTGCCGCAAGATTTTGCCGCATCAGCAGTTTTTGACCATTGCCTCCAACTTTCCACTGTGGGCGCAGACTACTAGACTATTTTATCTTTACAAGTTTAGTCTATTAAAGTGTCTAACCCACCTTATTACGCTCTTTTTACACTTCATAAAAAAAGGGAACAATGGTCAAACGAAGAAAATGTGTTGAGAAGAATTTTAGAACTGAATAAGTTAGTTTTGTTGGTATGATTTTCTTGAAAACGAAAACTTGAGCGGCCATGTTGTTCGAGCCAGAACAAGCTTGGTTACATGAAGTAATTTCTTTGCGAGAAAGAACAGACAGACATCCAGTGCTAATATACAGCTCACTGGCTGAGACAACTTCGGATTTTCCCGATGTTCGCCCGAGGATCATATTTCTATAAATTATGAAATACTTCATATTTAATATTTTCGCTGATTTTAAAATGTATAGCGGGCAAAAATTGTTGTGTTTCAATCGTGGTTGGGTCGAAAAATATGCAAAAAGCGAAAAGAGCGAAGATAAAGAGATTAAAATTGGATTTAGTACGTATTTTTGAAATATTTTGCCACTACTGTAATATTATGGCTCAGTGCGCATGACCAATGACACCTGTGACGTCAGTTTCATACGGGACTTCGCTTCACCCCAGAGTTTTTTTGGCGGGAAAATTTATAATGTTTGGGGAAGACAAGATGGCGCTGGTTTACTTCGTGTCGTCAAAGGGCATTTTTGTTCACAAATACCCACTTATTTTACGTTATAACGACTGCTTAGTTTTGGAAATTATAACTCAATGTTCAGGGAAAACGATTCTATGGTAAAGAGAAAAATACGTGCAGTTTATATTGACTTTATATTGTGATGTTATTTGTTGTGAAAGACGGCCGGAAATTTCGCTACATCGCTGTACTGGCAATTCGACCATGGATAAAGAGACAACGCTTGAATGAAAGAACAACCTGTCTTGATGGTAAGTTTTTAAAGGGTTTTCACTTTTCGGTAAATATATAGTAATATATTTTTGTTGACGGTGGTTGACTGCCTGGTTGTCGGTAATTAGTACGACCCTTTAAACTTTGGGTCGTACTAATTACCGACAACCACCGTCAACAACCGACAATTACCGACAACAAACCACTGAAACAAATGCATACTTTCACTGTATTCTTATAGTTATTTGTATGAATGCATGGCTGTTTTGAGAAAACACAAAATATATATTTTGATTTGATTCAAATCATATACGTATATACACATATACACACACATATACTGTACACTTTATAGGACTTGGTGTATTCATATAGATAATAGGGTTAATAATTTTATACTTAAACTTTTCTTTCGTGCAATCCTTATTATCTAGCATGGCTATCCCCCCCCCCTGGCTATGCTTCTGGTTTGCTACTCCAATGCCCTATGTGCCTGATATAGGGGTGAATACCTTGTATTACATATAGGGGCAGGGGTGAACACCTTATGTTACACATAGGGGCAGGGGTAAAAACCTTATCTTACACTGATATAGGTGTGAATACCTTATGTTACACATAGGGGCAGGGGTATAAACATTATCTTACACTGATATAGGTGTGAACACCTTATGTTACACATAGGGGCAGGGGTATAAACCTTATCTTACACTGATATAGGTGTGAACACCTTATGTTACACATAGGGGCAGGGGTATAAACATTATCTTACACTGATATAGGTGTGAATACCTTATGTTACACATAGGGGCAGGGGTATAAACCTTATCTTACACTGATATACTGTAGGTGTGAACACCTTATGTTACACATAGGGGCAGGGGTATAAACCTTATCTTACACTGATATACTGTAGGTGTGAACACCTTATGTTACACATAGGGGCAGGGGTAAAAACCTTATCTTACACTGATGTAGGTGTGAACACCTTATGTTACACATAGGGGCAGGGGTATAAACATTATCTTACACTGATATAGGTGTGAACACCTTATGTTACACATAGGGGCAGGGGTATAAACATTATCTTACACTGATGTAGGTGTGAAAACCTTATTTCAAACACTCACTAATAATTCATAAGCTTATTGGCAAATCATGTCAACCATAATATGTCACGTGCAGTGGCTTTAAACCTGATAAAACACTCCTACTTAGTATTCTTTATATAAAGAATACTGATAAGGTAGCATCTATTGTAGTTGTGTACTCATTAGTATTCTTTATATAAAGAATGCTAATAAGGCAGTAAATCTATTGAATTTGTAGTCATGTTTGAAGCCGTTTAATAAAATTGCAGGTTGTGTTTTATTAGGTATAAAGCCTTTAACAATTAATTAATTATTTAATTAAACAGTATGTTACACATAGGGGCAATGGTATAAACCTTATCTTACACTGATATAGGCGTGAACATCCTATGTTACATATAGGGGCAGGGGTATAAACCTAATTATCTTACACTGATATAGGCGTGAAAACCTTATGTTACACATAGGGGCAGGGGTATAAACCTTATCTTACACTGATATAGGCGTGAACACCCTATATTACATATAGGGGCAGTGGTATAAACCTAATTATCTTACACTGATATAGGCGTGAAAACCTTATGTTACACATAGGGGCAGGGGTATAAACCTTATCTTACACTGATATAGGCGTGAACACCCTATATTACATATAGGGGCAGTGGTATAAACCTTATCTTACACTGATATAGGTGTGAAGACCTTATGTTACACAAAGGGGCAGGGGTAAAAACCTTATCTTACACTGATATAGGCGTGAACACCCTATGTTACATATAGGGGCAGGGGTATAAACCTAATTATCTTACACTGATATAGGCGTGAAAACCTTATGTTACACATAGGCAGGGGTATAAACCTAATTATCTTACACTGATATAGGCGTGAACACCTTATGTTACACATAGGGGCAGGGGTATAAAAATTATCTTACACTGATATAGGCGTGAAGACCTTATGTTACACAAAGGGGCAGGGGTGTAAACCTTATCTTACACTGATATACTGTAGGTGTGAAAACCCTATATTACATATAGGGGCAGTGGTATAAATCTTATCTTACACTGATATAGGCGTGAACACTGATATACTGTACGTGTGAAAACCTTATGTTACACAAAGGGGCAGGGGTATAAACCTTATCTTACCAGTACTGATAGAGGGGCCGGTGAACGCCTTATGTTATATATATAGGGGCAGGGGTATAAACCTTACCTTACACTGATATAGGCGTGAGAACCTTATGTTACACATAGGGGCGAGGGTATAAACCTTATCTTACACTGATATAGTAGGTGTGAAAACCTTATGTTACACATAGGGGCAGTGGTATAAACCTTATCTTACACTGATATAGGCGTGAACACCTTATGTTACACAAAGGGGCAGGGGTATAAACCTTATCTTACACCGATATACTGTAGGTATGAAAACCTTATGTTACACATAGGGGCAGGGGTATAAACCTTATCTTACACT